AGAGAGAAGAGGGTAACAGAGAGAGAGAGAGAGAGAGTAACAGAGAGAGGAAAAAGAGGGTAGCAAAGAATGGTATATAAAAAAAGAAAGGAGAGTAGCAAAGAAGAGAGAGAGAGAGGAAAAAGAAGGTAGCAAAGAATGGTATATAAAAAAAAAGAAAGGAGAGTAGCAAAGAAGAGAGGGAGAAAGAGAGAGAGAGATAGAGAGAGAGATAGATAGAGAGATTTAATACTTCATTCCTCTCCCAGGGTATGGCGGGATGTCAGACGCGTCGGTTAGTTTGTTGCACTTGTTCTTAGCCGCGTACAGTGGGGAAACTTTTATTCAGAATTTCATATTGCCTTATTTTCTTTATTTTTTATCTAAAATTCCATAAAATTTCTATTAACTTAATATTTTTTCCCCAAACCGCCCTAGAAACAAATACCGTATGACATGACTTTGCCATGAAAAGATTTCTGTCTTATAAACTCACATTTTATCATTTAGAAATTCGAATCCCAGAAAACTAAATTTTATATATTATGTAGAATATTTGGTTATATATAAAATGTTTTACCTAATTTCATTTTGTATATTTTTGTGTTTGAGAAGCTAGAACTTGATTTATGTCTTATTATAAAATTTACCAGCTGTATACCAAATTTTATCTTTCTTCTTAAAATATCTATATCGTCAATCGTCTTATCATCATCAAGTTTTCCTTTCCAAGTTAAATACAGTCGCCTGCACTTATACCTGGTACAGTGGCTGGCACGTTTTGTGAGACGTGGCAACTCTGTGAATACTTATCTATCATCTTTAGTCTCTCCACTATTGCGAGGTTCCTTGGGCAATTCCGGGAGTTTAGATGGGATGTAAACAAACAAGAGATACCACGTCTCACAAAACGTATCAGCCACTGTACCAGGTATAAGTGCAGGCGACTGTACATCGAGACCTTTACACTGACACTGAACTATTTAGGCAGCACCTCATATATACCTTTTTAACAACCTAGAATTTTCCTTGATTCTTCACTATGTAGTCGTTATCTAATGAAAATAACTTCCTTAAAAGATCAAACCATCGTTCTTAAGAGATCAAACATTTTTTCAAAGGATCAAACATTGTTCTCAAAGGATCAAACAATGTTCTCAATGGATCAAACATCGTTCTCAAAGGATCAAACATTGTTCTCAAAGGATCAAATATTGTTCTCAAAGGATCAAATCATCGTTCTCAAAGGATCAAACATTGTTCTCAAAGGATCAAACAATGTTCTCAATGGATCAAACATCGTTCTCAAAGGATCAAACATTGTTCTCAAAGGATCAAATATTGTTCTCAAAGGATCAAATCATCGTTCTCAAAGGATCAAACATCGTTCTCAAAGGATCAAACATTGTTCTCAAAGGATCAAATCATCGTTCTCAAAGGATCAAACATCGTTCTCAAAGGATCAAACATTGTTCTCAAAGGATCAAACATTGTTCTCAAAGGATCAAATATTGTTCTCGAAGGATCAAACATCGTTCTCAAAGGATCAAATATTGTTCTCAAAGGATCAAATCATCGTTCTCAAAGGATCAAACATCGTTCTCAAAGGATCAAATATTGTTCTCAAAGGATCAAACCTTGTTCTCAAAAGATCAAACATCGTTCTCAAAGGATCAAGCATTGTTCTCAAAGGATCAAACATTGTTCTAAAAGGATGAAACATTGTTCTCAAAGGATCAAACCTTGTTCTCAAAAGATCAAACATTGTTCTCAAAGGATCAATCATTGTTCTCAAAAGATCAAACATTGTTCTCAAAAGATCAAACATTGTTCTCAAAGGATCAATCATTGTTCTCAAAGGATCAAACATGATTCTCAATGGATCAAATCATCGTTCTCAGAGGGTAAATTGTTGCTCAAGTCCCTTTCCCTTCTTTTTTTCCTAAATCCCAGTACGGTATTAAGTTTTGCTTCTAGATGTCATTAAACTATATTTTTCACGCAATACAAAGTAAATTTTATATGATTTAGCGATAAGCTGTGAGAAATTCGCCGTAATGCTGAAAGTGAAAGCGCCGAGATCAGTGCTGGTCCCATATGCTGTATCGATTTTTTTGTTTAAGTATTCTTTGTGACTATGTGGAGCTGTAAGAATGCACTTGATTGATTGGTTGATTATAATTGAAGCGCTAAAATTAAAGCAAGAAAACAGTATCAAAATCATAATGAGACTACCTTTTCTCTGTGTTTTCATGTAGTAACTCTGTATAGTATAAGTAGTAACAGAGAATAATTTTAATGCTACATTTGTTCACTAGCATTTAAGTTTTAGCTGTAAGTCTTTCAGTTAGATACATTCTTACATTTTGAAATAATTAAGACGAATATTTATCGCACGAACCTCTGAGATTGAGTATATAATAGCATAAACTTACCGAGAGCGAACTTTTTTTATTGTTACATACTTCTTAAATGTCAACGTTTGTCTGTTTCCCTCTCACATTTCCTCCAGGAATAATTCTGAAAGTACTAGATGTGTACAGAATTCCTTGATTTTTGTTGTTACAGTCTATGAAGAAGTTACTTATCCTAAACATAGGTTTGCATTCCATAATATTCTAAATATAAATATAATCTTTATCACGAACGCTGTGGCGCACGTGCGTTCGAAAGTTCCATGCGATTCTACCTGCAGTTAAAGTCATAGCGAACATGGTTAAACATAGTTATGTGGCTTAAATGATGGAGTATAGACCAATGTTGGAAAAGTGTTACTTCCTCAAGGTCTCTATGACTCAAATATCAAGGGATTTTGTAAACACTCCGGCACATCTTTACATACGTAGCTGTTGAAGCTTCCATAAAGACGACTTCTATTGCTAAAAGTGGTTTATAATTTCATTGTTTAAAGGTCAACAAGAAGATAATATATTATCGAGGCAATACTATATAAATTACATCAATTTTATTAAAAGATTCTCATGGAAAGGATATATTTAGGTCGATACTCTAGTAAACCATTATTAAGGAATAAGCGAATGTTTTGTAGATGCTCTGAAGTAGGCTATATTTTACGCTGTGCAAATCCAATTGTTTTTATAGTTAGGCCGGAGAATCAAACCCGATAATGATCGTTAAGTGTGTAATAAGGAAAGGCTAGTTGACGTAAAATTCAACTTCACCTTCTAGCTGGTTTCAAATTGCCAGCAATTCGAGATTTCTAAAGTCGGATCCTCTTTGAGACACTTAATATAGTTGTATTGCAGATATTAACTTGGAGGTCATTTGCTACTGTGATTAGGATGTTTATGCTTTGCATAAATATTAAAAGGGTTGCAAAGGCAGAGATGTCTTTCATTGTTCGTTGAAAGACCGCACGCCTGGCAACGAAAGCACATTGTACCATTTCTGTGAACACGCGACTGTCACTGCGATACCAATCAGTGTTTTATACTTTCACTCTCCTATTTCATATAATTATTTAGTTCCTAAGTTTCCCACTAGGTATTTGTAAGTAGAACATGATTCGCGCACTGTGGTAAACATCCGGCTGAGTTGCGCACTTAAGAGTTGGTCTGGTGGGCTGTTGCATCTGCTTTTCCCTGAAGGCGCGTTGATTCCAGGAAAGCTCTTCAGTACTACCAAGTGTCTTTCCCTAAACCTTGGTTATATTCTCCTAAAACTACTGGGATTTCTCAATAAGATATCATATAATCCACAAAAATCATAAATTATTATTTTTTCTTCAGCAAATGACATCTGTTTGGTTTTCATATCATTTGTAGAATATATGACCAATCATGTGGTACCTAAAGTGACTGGCAATAGTGAATGTATTGCAGTAGACATGTTGATATTCCCGGGGATGGAGGTGTGATACTGAGGCTCTTCTAAAATAACAAGTAGGTCCATTAACATGAACTGAAATACGGAATAAATTCAAGAATACTTTATCTAAACACTAGAAAATGATAGGATACACAAATTACAGGAATTGAAGGTAAGATACATTACTTTCCATACATTAACGCCTACTTGTGTGCACTATTGCTGGTGGTTCAGTTATTGTGTTCGCACATTTAGGTTTTGCAATAATTGTTAATGCCGTAAGATGTCGGTAAAGTTAATGGATTAATTGTTGCTGGGGAATAAAATGCTAATACAAAGTGTCACACTGTTTCACGTATTGAGTAAGATTGTCTAATTGATTAGTGGCGGTACTCCAGTTAGATTACTTAAGCGAAACTAATGATGAATGTTGAAACAAGTTTTATGTGTAGGACACAATTATGTTGCCTTACTAGAGTATTTCACGCGCTCACATGCACACATGCATATAGATAATCTCTCTCTCTCTCTCTCTCTCTCTCTCTCTCTCTCTCTCTCTCTCTCTATATATATATATATATATATATATATAACCCATACATCACAAGCTCGTTTCACTTGTCGTTGATGCTTCTCAAACAAGAATATTTAGTCTTCTTAAATTTAACAACATTTGTTTTCAGTTTTTTAATATCCATTGGGAATTAGTAAACTTTATGCGTAACTACAAATTTGATATGTTTACAAACCAAGCTTTTATTGCCGTCGTTGTTTACCGAGAATAAACCGAAAAAAATACTTTATTAAGTAAAGTTGGGATTTGTTACTTGATCACCTTAATAAATAAACCCTTATATAGGTCGTCAATGTACTTTTATAGCCGACATGATTTTCAAAGCTGGTCAAAAGGCTGAAGGAATACTAGGAAACTCTGTATAGGAGCTCTCAAGACATGCGCCCGAACCCGACAGCAACAGTGCGCTAATGCCAACTCACAGATTTCACCTTATTTAACTGTAATATTTAGTATTGACACTTACACTAATTAAATTATATATAAAAAAGTAATATTGTTCGGAAACTATCTTGTAAATGTTTATCTATTGAGCCATTAATATTAAATAGTATAGATGTGCGCACGAAACATGGCACTGCAGGAGTCACGTGACCAAGTGCCTCCCATATATGGTAAAGTTTCCACGAAATGTGCGTGTGTTTTGATGAATCGATCTGTGAGAACATTTTCTACTGGGAAACAATAATTGTCTCTGAGATATCGCTGTGACAGCATCCACCACTGCAAGCTTCCTTCGTAGATCACAACAGGTAGGTGTTAGGGCGGCGTTAAAGGCGTAAAGGCGGTGAAATGGGCGTGAAGTGTTGGGCGTGAGGGGTGGCGAGCCGAGTGCAGCGTCCATGACTAGTGTAGAAGACAAATAAACAAGAGTGAGGTAGCTTGATCCTCCTTCACACTGACAATCCACGCTCACTGGGGCGCCGTCTTCACGCTCATCAACCTCCACTTTCTTAGTAAGTGCGTGAGTGGCCATGTGCTTGCAAGCTGACATGTTTGACACATTGAGCCATTCAATGTGACCTTCGTATACCAAACTTAAACGTCCTGATATTGACGTAAATGATTTTTATATATCAGGATGTGATTTAGTAACTGTTTTCCTAGAAGACAACAGTTGGTGGTGTGTTATTGTGACTTAGTGTACTCCAAGAGACTGTTAAACTTTTCTAGTGTAGAAATTACCTAGATTTGGAAGGCTTGTGTATATATTGCCATTCATAACCGTACATTGGCAACTTATGGTTCTATACAATAATAACTGAATGAGAATTGTCTATACTGTATTAAGAAACGAGTTGAAAAGGACTGTTATATATTTAGGAGTGAAAGGCTTAGAAAAGCTAAAATGTAATACTACGGCTGCATATTAAAAGTTTCATGGATATTGCTACCAGAAAATCTTTGATAGGCAAACCTTGACTGTGTAAGAAACTTTCAAGGTGGCTCGTGAGGTTTGTGGTTAATGGAAATTGGGTAAAGTTGTAGAATAAGGGCACTACCTAGGGTATTATAGTGAAGGTCATCCAGCGGATTTCAAGTTTAGGTTAGGTTGGGTTAGGTTAGGTGGTAAATTCCAAAAGCAGAAACCACAATTCATTTTAATTGGTGCCAAAAGAACGCTTTTGATTGGCCGCGTGACATGTACTGGGACACATGTGCATGATGATTTATGAAGAGAACACGCTGAGTGGGAGGTCGGGTAGGCGATAATGGAATTAAATAGAGAAAGATTTGGCATGCTCTATCTCCGTTATTATACGTTTCCGACGGTAATGTAAAAGAGGAAAATTAACTTAAAATTAGACGTCTTCTTCGAATATGATAATAGAATTGGGGTAAGAATGTTGTGTGAACTACTATAAAAATACCAGTTAGGTTTTAAATTACAAAGACTGAGAGAGAGTTTATGTACACAGGGTGACCTTACAAAACATGAGGTCAGGTGACATCCATTAATCCGCACATCAACCACACAGCAAACATAAGAAGAGTTTATAAGAGCGGGCGACATAACTAGTCATGTCACGTCAGGTAAAAAATATGAGACCCACTAATCTTCTATCATACAACTCAGAATTAAACAGCACAAGTACAATATTAGAACAACATCTGAAAGCAGTGCACTTTTCGTTCATATAAGGAACAATAATCATCCCATAGATTGGGAAAACAGTTTAGAAGTGTATAAATCATCATGTGTCACAGAAAGACTTCTAGTTGAAGCAAGTTTGATTAGAGAAATGTATTCTTTAAACCTAAGTGATGGTCAGTACAAAACTGATAATATGTTACACAAATTTATTTGTCAGTGGCCCAAGGTTAAAAATGCTTTGAAAGCATGTAAGGTAGATGTATGATAGATGATTAGTGGGTCCCATATTTTTTACCTGACGTGACATGACTACAGTGGGGTATGCTATAACGAACGTAATTGGTTCCAGAACCTCGTTCGTTATAGCATTCGTTCGTTATAGGATTAATCCGTTCCAGGCCCCCAAATACAACCACTTAACACTGAAAAAATTCTGTGGAAAATGTAAAAAATAAGGTACTTTATCTTACCTTAGTGTTATTCAGCATGCAGGTACCCCTAAACACTGGCACAGCACTATCACTTCCACTGGGAGTCTTGGCTTTAAGGTCCTCAAACAATTGTTTAGCCTTCTCACAAATTATAGCTTCACTAATGTTACCACCTGCCATTTCTTTCTCCTTTATCCACACTAAGAGTAAATTTTCTATCTCTTCAATCACATTACACCTTGCTTTGCTAAGTCTAAAGATTCCCTTAGCCACTTGCACAGTTTTTAACTCCTCTTTATTCTTCAAAATCGTACATATAGTCGATTTAGCCATCCCATACATCACTAAGTTTCGCAATGCTTCTTCCATTCTCACGTTTCTTTATAATTTCTTAATTAGTTTCAAGGGTTATTAGCTTTCTCACTCGCTTTGGACAATTCATTGTTACAATTGTATACATGTATAACAAAATAGTTATACAAATAATGTGAATTTCCACATCAAAAGACGAAATTTCAACAATAACAGTGGTGCACTGGCTACACAATGAGACAAAGATGGCGCCTGACGCTCTTGTTGTGGGTCGCGGTACAACAATATTCATGCGCCAGGCGAAATAGTCCCGTATTCATCCGCATTCGTTGTAGGAGTTGCGTTCGTTATAGCATTCTCAATTTTGTAGGTAAAACCGTTCGTTATAGGAATATTCGTAGTAGGATCCGTTCGTTATAGCATACCCCACTGTAGTTATGTCGCCCGTTCTTATTATCTCTTCTTATGTTTGCTGTGTGGTTGGTGTGTGGATTAATGGATGTCATGTTTTTTGACCTGACCTCATGTTTTGTAAGGTCACCCTGTGTACATCAACTCTCTCTCAGTCTTTGTAATTCAGTTGCCTCTGAAGATGTCTTGAATAAAGACGAAAGCTAAGGTTCTCCATTGTTTCCCTTTTCCCTGTGTGATTTTATCGAGATTTATCTTATCCACGTTTCCATTGTGGATCTACATGAATTATATATATACAGGGCTGCCTCACTTATCGCAAAGGTTACAGGCATGAAACTCGTTGCGAATATCGAAATTGCGAATAGCGGAGCAATTTCTCCCATAAGAAATACAGTGGGGTATGCTATAACGAACGGATCCTACTACGAATATTCCTATAATGAACGGTTTTACCTATAAAATTGAGAATGCTATAACGAACGAAACTCCTACAACGAACATTATTTAAATTTTTTTTTTTTTTTTCTAATTTATTGTTTTTTTATTACAAATATTAATGATATTCTTTATTTCAGGGGTTTAGATGCATATTTATGCACTTTTTTACAATTTTTACAATTTTATATTATATTTTTCAGTGTTAAGTGGTTGTATTTGGGGGCCTGGAACGGATTAATCCTATAACGAACGAATGCTATAATGAACAAGGTTCTAGAACCAATTAGATTCGTTATAGCATACCCCACTGTAATGTGAATAGGGGGGATACTGGCATCGCTGTGGTCACAGCCGTCAGAGTTTAACACTTGTTTTACTCATTACATATAGAACATAAAATAGATAAAGAAACAAGGGCATAACATCAAATAAACATCAATAACAAACACTTTGAGTTTATTTGGCATATATGTTTACAAGTACAGTATACTTTACATGTTTGAGTGTGTGAGACGGTGAGTGTTTGAATGTTTATGTGCGTAGGTGTGTGAGGTAAGTTTTAAACGTAGACTGTTAATTTTCCTCTTATGTGCTGTGTTGCTTGCTTGCTGAAGTTGGCATTAGGGGAGAGGGTGAAGGTTTATTGGGGTGAGAGGAGGCTGGGGTCCTCAGCCACCTCACTCTCCTCACTGCCAGGGTCCTCAGCCACCTCACTCTCCTCACTGCCAGGGTCGGCAGCCACCTCACTCTCATTTTCGCTGTCAATTTGCACTGAAAACTGTTGTTCTCCACTGGTTGAAGGCTGTGGTTCACTTGTTGAAGGCTGTGGTTCACTTGTTGAAGGCTGTGGTTCACTTGTTGAAGGCTGTGGTTCACTTGTTGAAGGCTGTGGTTCACTTGTTGAAGGCTGTGGTTCACTTGTTGAAGGCTGTGGTTCATTCGTTGAAGGCTGTGGTCTTGAACAGCTGCCTAAAAGCTGTGTTCTGTTTGGATGTACATGGGGTGGTTGGTGCACCGGGGCTTGATGGTTTGGCTGTGATAAATGCATCGAGTCATTTGTTGTGCATTCTTCCTCTTCTCCTCAACCACCTCGTAGTATGCTTGTATGTCTTTCTTGACATTGCGGATGATAGTGCAACTTCGGTCAACATTAGGGTCCATTTCTAATGCTATATCCATCGCCATCTCAAATGAAGAAATCAGCTTCCTTAGGTTCCGTACAGCTAGGAGTTGTGTTGGAGTTTCATCTGCATCTCCTCCTGTTGCAAGTGGCATTTCTTCCCGCTGAAGCCTCACCAGTTCTATCAGGTCTTCATTGGTAAGTTTTTCATTGTGAGAGTCGAGGAGGTCTTCTGTGTCAGCGTCATCCACTTCATCGAATCCAGCCTTCTTTGCAAGAGTCGCAATAGTCTTCCTTATTGCAGGCACTGAAGGGAAACCAACGAAGTTGTGCACACACTTGGGCCACAGCTTATGCCACACACCGTTCTTGTTCTGTTGTGTTATTGCCTCCCATGAATCACTGATGTTTTCTTATGGTTTTCCTGGTGTTATAGTGTTTTTTCCAAAACTCCTGAATTGTAGGTTTCCCTTCTCCATCGGTCCCCTCAATCAGCTGCTCCATGATACTCTGAGTGTAAGGCGCCTTGATTGTAGAGATGATGCTCGTCCATGGGTTGCAGCAAAGCCGTGGTGTTGGGAGGCAAAAACACAACTTTAATGTTTTTAACCAGTCAACCATAGCTGGTGGATGACCTGGTGCGTTGTCGATCACCATCAGAGCTTTTTGCATCAAAATTATTTTCCTTATTATAGCGATTAAAGCGACCGGACACATAGTTGAGCATGTAGTCGTGCATCACAGACCCTGTCACCCACGCCTTACGGTTTGAACGCCAGATGACAGGAAGTTGTCCCTTCACAACCCCCCCTCAGAACATGGGGTGTTTCAGACCGGTACACAAGAAGAGGCTTTAACTTCAGGTCACCCTCAGCATTCCCACCAATCAATAGAGTGAGGCGGTCCTTGGCAACTTTGAATCCCGGTGCGGTTTTTTCCTCC